AGCCGAGTGGAACCGGAGTTCGGCCCCGCCACTCCCCACGCTGTGGCAGCTGCTGTCCTCTGTGCATCTGGTGAGCGAGAAAGCGCGGGACCTGCAGAGATGGGGACGGCGCTGGGTATGAGGCTGAGGGCTCCTGGACTGGAGGCAGAGGCCGAGGCCACCCCTGCAGAGCAGCCCCCCGGGGCCGAGGCCCGCCTGGTTCCTGCGGATGTGTATTCTTGTGGAGGTGGTGGTGGGAAGCTTGGGCTAGATGGGATGTTTAGGGTGCACCCGAGAACTGCAGCAACCCTGGTTCCCGCCAAGCATCAAGACGGTCCGCAGCGGTGGGCGTGTGTAGCTTCTCACGGCGGCCGCACACTCTCTCCAGGGCCGGGAGCCCTCCGCGGGCGGGCAGCGTGCGCCTTGGCCACAGCCTTCGTCCCTTTCATAGCCATCGTGAGCGGCTTTGATCCCCCTGAACCAGTATGGAAGCCGGTCCGGGCTGGACGATCAGTGATCGGGGAGACTGCCCCGAGGGTGGCCACGTTCGTGCAGCACATCGAGGCCTCCCCAAATCCTCCCCAATGTCCCGGGACTTCTGATCTCCGTGACGGATGACAGCATCGTAAGGACGACCACGGCTGCGTGGGGTCCTACAGCATGGGAGTGGGGCCCATGTCCGAAATCTGCATTTCAAATTCCTCAGCTCAGTGGCCCAAGGCGCTAAGATCTTTTTGCATAAGACTTTGTAGAAGTCAAGCCCAAGAGGGTGAGGGCCAGGTGGGACATTTGCTACTGGATAGCGAATGTCTGAGGGCTTGTGTGTCTGAGTGGGACTCTCCCTTCTTGCAGGGGAAGGGCCTGTGCGCTCCCCTGGCTGTCCGCTGGATCGTCAAGGTAACACGCCATCCACCTCCGTGTTGGCACGAGGAAGTCGGAATTTGCAGTATTTACTAGACAGTAAGCATGTTGATAATGAAGACCACTGTTACCCACTGGCACTTTGCGAATAATATTGCCCCCGTCACCCTCGCATCAGCCTCCTCGCCGAAATAAGGGAAAGTAACAAGCAAGGGCCATGAGGGTAACAGGAGGGAGGGCACACGGCGAAGGGCGGCGCGGAGAGAGGGCCCGAGTTCTCCGGGACGGCCGCTTCCCATCCTTTGGGGAACAGAGGGAAGGTCGTCAAGCCGCGCTTTACGTTTTCAAGCACGGAGGGTGACAGAGGGTGGGCAGGGCTCAGGAAGGGCAGGGGTGGGCGAGTGCAGGAGGAGCTGGCCAGAAGAGACAGTTTCCAGCGGGCAGAATTTCAGAGGCACCTCTTTCTTTCCGTAGCTGTCGAACACACAGAATGTGAGAATATTTCCCCGGTCTATGACAGAAAGGACCAGACTGGAGATGGGACTTCTGTCCGGAGGGGCTGCTTCCTCTAGCTTGCATTAACCTCGTTTCCCTTTCTACCTGGGGACACGCACACCAGGGTGTCAGGCCTCTTCGCAGAGTTGAGGGGTGCGGCTCATCGGTGAGAAGAGGGCGAAGTGTCTTTCTTGGTCTCCATTCTGTAAACACTGGGGGAAGAGGAGAAGGAAGACGTCTCTGTCTGTCCCTGCTCCCGAACTGTGGGAAGAGGGTGAGAAGTGTTCTCCTTGCCCTCTGTCCTCTGAACCTGGCCAGTGGAACAGCCCGGTCACCCAGCGCTTGTCAGGAGCAGTGCGTGGTGATGGGTAGCTCAGCAGGCACCCAGCCCGTGCACACTGGCCTAGACCCTGAACCTGCACGAACGCAAAGGCCCCACCTGCTGCCTTCCCCGTGCAGGAATACACCTGTGCAGACCATGCAGGCCGGCTCCCTGAGGGCCGCTGGGCTTCTCCTGAGGGTGTCCAGCCTCCACGGGTGTCTCCCCAGTGTGCCAGGTGGTGGGGGCACTGTTCCCACCCATTGTCCCGTCTGTTCTAAGGACAGGGGAATCTACGACTCTCGTTGGCCGAGAAGAAAAACGCCCCAGAGGAGAAGAAAGTGTGTATTTTCTCCAGCTCGGTCCTCCCCTAGTACTTCCGAGCCACTAACTGAAACTGGGAGTGAGCGCCATCGGGTCTCGTAGGCGCTTGGGTTCCCACGTGACAGTGGGAGTCCCTGGTCCCAGGACCCTGTGGGCCCACGGTGTACACAAGAGGGTCTGGCCCACTTCACGTGCCCAGGCAGGCCTGGAAAGGCTCTGTTCTCGGGTCATCCATGCTGGGACCTGAGGGGTCAGGGCAGCATCACTCCCTTCCCCACGAATGTGGAAAACCCTGAAGGGAGGACGGAGTGGGGTCCCTTGTGCTCCCTGCCCGGGCAGTCGGGGTGCCCCCACTCCTGGCCCTTAGAGTGCACCAGAGAGCAGCCCTGGGCTCCGTCCGTTGTTCGAGAGCTTTCACCTCTGCACGCGGCAGTCGGGACCCTGGGAATGAAAGCACATTGTGTCCTGGAGCACAAGACAAGACGGAGTCTGCAGCCCTTGCCTTCCCGGTGGGAGGAAGGGGAGTCGCGGGGTTCCCGGCCAGCATGCCACGGCTCCCTCGATTCCCTCTCATTCTCCAGGACACCTGTCCCCTGTGGATCCAGGCTTTGCCGTCCTCCCACCAGAGCCCACTTGTCCTCTGAAACCCGTGGATGCTGGGCGCTCCTCCCTCTCTGTTCACCGACCAGGTGTGACCAGCGCCGGCCCACACAGCTTCCGCTTTGCCAAGGCCTGGGCTGTTCTCTTCCAGTCGGGTGATTCCTATCAGAGTAGCCATGGGCAGTGGCTGTGGGTCTTGTGTGGACGCCTGGGGAGAAGCCCTGTCACGAACGAGAGTGAGCAAACATTTACCTCCAGCTTCGGCCTCAGTGGGCCTTCTTCCAAGATGGAGCAGGCAGGTTTCTGAGTTCCGTCCCTCTGAGAAGGATGCACTCAGGTGAGGCCTAGCCAGGAAATCCGCTCCTGGACTCCAGCTCCATCAACTCATTTCGTGGCAAACTGGAGCATCCCGGTGTCGACACGGACATTGAGGAGCGCCCGAGAAGTCCCTGGCAGTGCAGACAGGGGACACGAAGGGGTGTGATGAGGAGGGAGTTCCAGGGCCTGTGAGCATGGGCGAGGGATTCTGGAGGTCTCCAGACCAGGTTTCATAGGGTAAGATGGCTGGTTACACAACTGGCCCCGCGATTGAGCTCTGTCCGGGTCCCTTCCCGTCCCCAGAGGTCGGCTGGCCCAGAGCCTCGACCTTCTACCCAGGTGGCTGGTCTTCCTGGGGGCCAGCCTGCATCTCCATCTCCAAGCCATCTAGGGGTCACAGTCACCTCATTAGCGTAACAGAAACTCCTGCCACTGGAAATTCCAACCCGGGCCAGGGACAAAGACCAGGGGTGTTCTTTATTTATGTATTTATTTAGGTTTTTGCCAGAGGGTGTGTATGCTCACTGAGGAGAAACAGAGACAGCGAAAGTGACAAATCGGCCCTAGGGGCATGGCCACGCTGCACTCCCTCCTCCTCCTCCTCCTCCTCCTCCTCCGTCCTCCTCTCGGGATTTCAGGCACACATGCACTGGGTGTGACCTTCAGGCCACAAGGCTGAGCACTAGAACAGCGGTCCACCATGCGGGGTCCAGGCGCCAACCACCACACTACCCCGGCCCCGGCCCCCGTGTTCTTTCTTTGCTTTTTTTTTTTTTAATCACCACAGGAATGTGAGCTGGCCTGAGAGCGAGAGGGAGAGGGAGAGGGAGAGTGAGGGAGAGAGTGAGGGAGAGAGTGAGGGAGAGAGCAGGGAGAGAGCCCTGTCGATGGAGGTGGTCCTGCTGCAACCCTGCCCCCCTTTGAGCATCTCCTTGGGATTCTGCCATACTCGCACACACACACAGGACCTGATGTGCTTCTCAGGCCGTGGGGTGGGTCTCGAACCAGCCGGCCATGTGGGACTCAGCTCCTTTAACCACAGGCCACTGGGCCCGCCCATGTATCGCTTTTGTGTCCTGTTCCTATGGAGGCTGGTCTGCGGAGAGCTCAGGGAGAGCCGCAGGTGGCCTCTGCCCAGGCCCAGGCTGGTGTCTTCTGACACTGGCTAAGAGCTGACAGTGAGGAGTAGGTCCCTGGTCACAGTGGGGAGAGACATGGCCTGGAGCCTGGGACTGCTGGGGACACCTGCCCACAGACACGGGAGTCCCCTCTGGCTTTAGCTCCAGGGCTCTCCCCTCACTGTCACCCTGGGCCCTCTCCTCACTGTCACCCCGGGCCCTCTCCTCACTGTCACCCCGGGCCCTCTCCTGAGTAGGTCCCTGGTCACAGTGGGGAGAGACATGGCCTGGAGCCTGGGACTGCTGGGGACACCTGCCCACAGACACGGGAGTCCCCTCTGGCTTTAGCTCCAGGGCTCTCCCCTCACTGTCACCCTGCGCCTCCACCTCACGGTCACCCCGGGCCCTCTCCTCACTGTCACCCCGGGCCTTCTCCTCACTGTCACCTGGAGCCCTCTCCTCACTGTCACCCCGGGCCCTCTCGCTGCCACCCTAACCCTGCAAAGCCGAGGTCCTGGCACCCTCTCCTCTCTGCCTGGCATTGGCTGTGTTTCTGGGAAGAGGAGCCTGGAGGCATAGCTTTCACTTTCTTTTCCTGGAAACCAGGGCTCCTGGGCTTGCTGCTTTCTTCTCTGCCGTTGGTCGGATTCCTGTGAGGGTGGGGAGAAGCAGAGGTGATTTAAGTCCTGAGAGTGTCCAGGCACGGCTCAGACCTTGGGGTGGTGGTCACGGCTGTCTCTCGGGGACCCACGAGCACGTGGCCTGGTCCTGCGAGGACGCACCCTACAGGCTGCAGGGAGCCCCGCGGACACTAGGTCTGCCCGTTGCTGGGGACCCCGGGCTGCGCTCTGACCAGAGTCCCGTCCCTCCGAGCCGGTGAGTACGGGCACACTGGCAGGGGCTGGCTTGGTGCCAGCCCCTCCCTCCTGGTCCTACAGGGCCCCCGGGGCTGCGGGTCTGAGGTGGGGCGGCCTTGTGTTCAGTGCAGGGTGGTGAGGACTCCGACCCGCGCAGGGGACTGTGTCTGGGGCCTTCTCGGAAGGCAGCGGTAAGGGAAATGTCACTCTTCTGCAGGGGCGTGGGTGGAGAGGGCGTGTCCGTGAGGACCTGGGGCCCAGTGCCCTCCGCCTAATTCTGAATACCTTTTGGTTGGAGGTCAGGGGAGAGACACGGAGCCCGCGTGTCTGTCCCCGCCCTGGCTCACCTCTCCCACCCGGTCGCGGCCTGCCCTCTCCTCCTGAGGCTGTAGGGCCTGGCTGCCTCTCCTCTGCCACCATCTTTGCTTCTTAATTCAAAGGCGGAGACATGGTGAATGCCTGTGAGGAGGAGGGGAGAGCCGTGTCCGGGCGCAGACCTGAGCTTTGCCTAATGTAAATGCCCCACGTCTCCCTGCTCACACTAGGGGACACCCCACCAGCACTGGAGGTGACGACCGGGACCATGCAGAGTGCCCTGCCCTGGCCACTGCAGCTTCCTGTCGCAGCAGATAATACTGAACTAACACGAGTGGTACTAACAAAAGGTCACACAGGCAGGCAAGTGGGGTGCGAGATTTGCTCAGGACACAGATGTGGGTGTCCCCATCGGCCCTCTGCAATCTGCCCTCGGGCTCTCACTCTCCTTCTCGCTCCGTTCTCAGGATCTGTTTCCATGAGGGACTCATGCCCTTCTGCGTGTTCCCGATCCCCCTTAAAACGTGACGGCCCGAGGGCATACTGGGGTGCAATGTCACCGTGCCCTGGCCCTGGCGGTGTGCCACGCAGTGCCCAGAGCCACCTGCTTTGGCACCTTTCCTCCCCCAGAGGGACCAAGGGACACTCAGCTTCCATTTTCTTAGAGAGGAACCCCAAGGCCCTAGCAGTCCCCGTGTCCACAGGAGCGCTCGGCCTGCACCAGGGATAGCACAGTCCAGCAAGCTTCTTGGAGGGGGGAAAAGCTGCCCTCGTAATCTCATACCTGGGCTCAGATCGCTCCTTCCTGACCTTTCTCACCTTCCCCTGTCACGGGGTGCAGCAGGGTCTGCCAGGCAGCTCCTGTGGACAGATGGCACCCCCCTCGTGCCCAGAGGGTGCCACCGCCAGGTGCCCAGGTCCCAGGCCTCGCAGCTCTGCCCTCTCTCCCTGAGGGACCTGGGTCGGGGTCTCACACCTCTTTACAGATAGTTCTGGGGCCCTGACTCCAACTGTCCTCTCATGTGACTGCAGATCCAGGACTCAGAACCCACTTCATTTCGTCACCATCGGAGAAAGTGGCAGAGGGGCCTCATTATCATAGCTGGCCTTCTAGGACACCCTTGGTCCCGCTCTGGTCTGGGCAGTCCCTCCCTTCTGTGGGTGACATTCCCCGTCCGAGGCAGCCCTCGCTGGCTCCTCCCTGCCTGGGTCTGGCCCCTTTCCTGCACAAGCTGGAGCAAGGGGTGAGCGGGTCCCAGGACAGCAGGCTGGGCCCAGGCACACCCCTGTGGGCGTCTGGCCTGTTCTCGTTTTCCTTTTCTTAGTTCTCTCTCTGTGTCTCCTTTTTCTTTCTTCTTCCTTTCTTTTTTCCTCTTTCTTTCTTTTTCTTCTTTCTCCTTCTTCTTTTTCTTTCCCTCTCACTCTTTCTTCCTTCCTTCTTTCTTCCCTTTTCTTCTTTCTTTTTTTGAGATTGTATTTTAGACTAGTTCTAGGCTTACAGCAAGAATAAGAAAAAGGTGTAG